CATCAATAGGAAACTGTTCATCGATTCGTTTTTAGTTGTTTTGATACTATTCTCTCTTTTTTTGTTTGTGTGTTAAGGTGTTTTTCTTTCAGTATCTCCAACTCTTCTCTTTCGCGAGTGATCCATATTTTTTTAATTTCTTTTGAAAACAAGAGTGAACCATATTAACCCCTAACAATTATTTTTGTTTTTTTAATTGTAAGTAGTATTGCACATAAGAAAACCAGCGGCTTCAAAGCATATCTATGGGTCTTCAAAGAATATCTATGGGTCTTCGTACAGGTAAGTAATCTCACCCTTTTGGATATTTTTACCGAAATCCTTTCCCCTACCGACCTAATCTTAGCTCTTTCTCCGACATCACCGATTTAGTTTCTGATCAAGGTAAGTGATCCCATGATTTATAATTGATCAGTTTGTACTTAACAAATTCAAGACATATTTACTTGGCAGTGCTTTAATATTCAATATAACATATCGATTCATGGTTTCTATTGTGTAGATCTATGTTATATTGGCGTTTGTTTAACCTGTTTTTTGCATGCTTATAATATATTTGATTATTGCTTCGTTGATGAGTTACTTTTGGTGCTTTACGAGCCATGCTATATTTATTTGATTATATGTATCAAGGAAAGTCTATGACTAACCAATGATTTATTTGTTTCATTTGCTTGATTTTGCAATTAATATGGTAACATGTACTCCACAATAGTTTGAGACGAGGTTTGTCTCTTTAGTTAGCCACAATAATTTTAATTAATTGTATGCTTAGCTCCAATGTTTCTGTGTAGGGTGCAAGGAAGCTGTAGAGTTTTTGGAAAGAATTTCAACATTTGAAGGGTAATTGAGCTGGATAATAACATGCTTGAGGTATGTATTGCTATTATGTTTGTTCTCTCTTTTTTTGTTGGTTTTTATATATACCTCTTCGTCTTATTGCTATTGTAAATATTCCTTCTTTCTCCATAATTTGATCCTTCTCGATAAGGTAATTCTCTAATCATATTCTCTCTAAATCTTTTCGCTTTTTGTTGAAAGGAGTTTCTTCTGATTCTGTGTCTTTTAGGTTTTGTCTCTCTTCAACAAGATATCTCTTCAAATGATTTCTACCTATTTATGTTTGAAATGAATATATTATCTAAATCCTACTCTTTTTCTTTCTGTTTTTTTTCATGGACACCTCCTGGTTTTGATTCATTTAGTATTTGTCTCTTCAACAAGGTAAATCTCTAAATCAGTAGTTTCTTCAATATTTTTTATTTGTGTCATTTTTTTCTTATGCGTACATTGTGTTTGTACATCTGTAGGTTTGTTTCATCCGCAATGGTTCTTTCTCTTTAACTATCGGGTTGGGCGCGCTCAGTTACCCTTATGCCATTAATATCTACAAATTTGCATATTTGTTGAGAAGATATTGGCCTGAGAAAGAGCAGGATAACCTCCTCAACAACCCTGATATGTTTGAGACTCCATTAGGTATACATTTTTTTTTTATATTTCTCTGGTTTTGGTAAAAGAGTTTTGTATTTTGTTTGGTTTATAGTTTAACATCTCAAGTGGCATAAAAGGTAGCCACTCCATATGATTTTCTCAATTCTAAAGTCGGTATTTGAAACTAAGATTATATGTTCCAAGCAAGAAAGTTGGCAGAAGTATTAAAGTCGGTACTTCACACCATAAGAAGTATTAAAGTAGTACAAACAATTTTTTCCCCGTGTAACCACTGAAAAGTCACTAAGTAAAGCAATTTCTTTATTTCGAAACATGAATTCTGGCGGAGAAAAACTTGTGTCCCTACGTCTCCTATTATGATCGTGTTGCACACGTAAGCTGTCGCCGGAATTTGTAGTGGCCATGAAAGACGTCGCATACAACACCTGCAACCATTTTTAATGACTGTTTCAGTTACAGTATTTTTATCTTCACCATAGAGTCGTTTTCTTTGTCGCAGACGCAGCCGTAGCGACTTGCACACAAACGTGACACATGTTATTGAAT